GGGGTCCACGCTGACCGCGGGGCGGCACAGGACGGGGTCCACGCTGACCGCGGGGCGGCACAGGACGGGGTCCACGCTGACCGCGGGGCGGCACAAGATAAGCAGCCTTCCAGCCATTGTGCACGGGGTCACTATCACACACCAGCAACAACGTCTACAGCACCAACTCGAATCACTAAAAACATGGGGACCGTTTTTTGGCACAAGCTGTCCCCTCTCTTCCACCACTTCTGTGGCTCAGCTCCATCTCCCTGCCTGCCCACCTGTGGCCTTTGTCCTACAAGGAATTCTGTTTAACACTCTTAGGATGGTTACGGTCATATGTCAATGAGGCTGGGCCACGATTCTCAGTGGTTTGGCAGATGTCATGTAACCATCTTCCATTTAGTGATCTGATGTGAGCAGCCAGTCAGTTCAAAGGGGAGTTTCCTTGGGGGCGTGGCCTGAATCCAATAAATATGTTCTGGTAAAGCCCAATCTCTCTCAATCCTGCATCCGACTTGTGATCCTCTGATCTCTGGGTCTCAACATGTGAGCCAGCAGCCTGCCACCTGACCTGCCAATTAGAGTCCATCAGCCCCTGCAACCATGAGTTAGGAGAAGCCTCCAGCCTGACACATGACTCATAAATTTGGGACTTGCCAGAGTTGATGCTTTTGAGTTGTCATGTTGATGAAGAATACTGAAAGTACCACAGACTGTCAGAAGAAGTAACAAATCTATCCTGGAAGAAAGTGCAGGCAGAATGCTCCTTGTGAGCAAGAACGGCCAGACTTCATCTCACCTACTTTGGTCATGCTGTCAGAAGGGACCATTCTCTGGAGAAGGATGTCATGCTGGCTAAAGTGGAGGGTCAGTGAAAAAGGGAAGGCCCTCAACAGGATGGACTGACACAGTGGCTGCAGTGATGGGCTCAGATGGAGCAAGTGTTGTGAGGCTGGCGCAGGACCAGGCAGTATTTCATCCTGTTGTACACAGGGTTGCTATGAGCCAGAGCCAACTCAGTGGCACCCAACAACAACGACAGTCCCCACAACTGTGTGAGCCACTTCCGTGAAATGAGTATGTGTATGTGTATGTGTGTACATACACATGTATCCAAAAACTCAGTGCTGTGGAGTCAATCAGACACATAGTGACCCTTCCTTGGGTTTCCAAGGCAGTAGCTCTACGGAAGTAGACAGCCTAGTGTTCCTTCCAAGTATACACGTGTATGTATACATACGGCAACCCCATTGGGGTTTCTGAGGCGGTAAATCTTTACAGAAGTAGATTGCCCAGTCTTCCTTCCACTGAGTCTGGTCAGCAGTCAAATACCTTAGGCACTAGGCTCCCAGAGCTCCTTGACAACAACAACATTTATACATATGCACTTCACTGGTTTAGGTCCTCCAGAGAACCCAGCCTAAGACTGCTCGCCACCAATCCATAAGCAGAAGAGCTCAAGTTCCACCTTAGAGTCTAGAACTGGGATCAGAATCACAGTGGGCCACATTATCAAATATGCCCACCCCAGGCTGGGCCTGGCCAGAAGGCCGCCTGGACAGCTGAGTTATTGGCCAGCTGGTCATGGCTGGGCAGAAGGTACCCTGAAGCTCAAGCACCTAGGGGTGGAGGGTGGGAGAGGAGAACAGAGCTGGGGCAGGGAGGGAGAGCCTGGGCTGCTGGAAGAAGATGGGGTTGCGCTGGTGGCTCCCAGTGACCCTGGGGCCCAACCACCCACACCCACAGGGGAAGAACACACTTTCTCAGATGTTGGAAGAGGCACAGTTGTGAAAGGCGGAGCTGTGGTGGGAGGCTTCTGCTTCCCACTGACCACCTGCTGCTGCTCCTCTCTCAGGGCAGGTGTGTCATCCCCACATACCTGAGTGTGATAAAACCTATGGTTTCACAGAGAGGAGTTAGACTTTAACTGCAGCCCCATGAGGCCAGAGTAGAACATTAACCGGGCGTGCCCCTCACCCAGCAATCCTGTTTGGCCATTCTTAGCTTACCATCTCTGACTCCCTTCTTCAAACACTCAGCAATTTTTTTTTATTGTTATTGTGATTTGGGTGAAAGTTTACAGAGCAGATTCATTTTCTATACAAAAGTTCATACACATTTTGTATCATGACCAAAACCAAACTCACTACCGTCGCATTGATTTCGACTCATAGCGACCACATTGGGTTTCCGAGGCAGTAAATCTTTACGGAAGTAGATTGCCCCATCTTCCTTCTGAGGAGCAGCTGGTGGGTTTGAACCTGCTGACCTTCTGGTGAGCAAATGCCTCAGGCACTGCACCCTCAGTGCTCCCCACAATGTAACACTTCCTCCCTGTCCTTACCTCTTCCCTGTGTCCTCCTTTCCTATGCATTCCTGCCCCCTGAGCTGTCTCCCTGTGCAAACACTGCCCTTCTGTTCTCCCATGATTGATTGTTCTAAGGAATGTGTCTACCTGGTGTAAATGTTCACCCTATAAGCCTGTCTAATGTTTGGCTGGAAGCCATGGTTGTTGTTGTGGTTGTTGTTAAGTGTCGTACTAAATTCCAGGCCTGAAGGGCAACTAGGGGGTCTCACCAGGTTCTATGACACCAGCAAATCTGGTCTTTTTTTTTTTTTTTTTATGATTTTGGGTTCTGTTCCACACTGTTCTCCCACTCTATCCAGGATCTTCTGCACTGCTCCCTTTCTGAGTGGTTGACAGTGGTAGCCAGGTGTGTAGTTAGGGTTGTGTGTCAACTTGGCTGGGCCAGGTCGAGTGGCTGGGCAGCTGGATGTAGTCATTCCCCACGGTGAGATTGATAATCAGCTCCATGGTGGAATCCACTGGAGCAGCTCAGTAGCTGCCTTAGGGCTGGGGTCTGCCTCCAGTGTATAAGAAGCTGCTTTGGGGAAGGTTTCCAGCTGATGGCATGCTTGAACCCTGCATGTAGCTGAGGCATTGTTCAGCAGCCTGCCATGCTTCCCGGCCGGTCTTGGGACTTTTAATGGACTTGAATTAATGGCCTGCCGTGTGGTTGTAATATCGGGACTGTGCCTTTTCACTTGTCGACCTTGGGTTTGTGAGCCTCAGCAGCCAGCAGCTACCTGAGTGAAGAAAACTTCCAGCTCCAGTGGGCCGTAGGAAGAGGCAGAGCTGAAGCCCAAGGTCGAGGGGCTTTCACCCAGCCCCTAGAGCCTAGCACCAGGACCTTGGACTTCTAACCTCCAAACTTGTAAGAGAATAAACTCGTTTGTTCAAGCCATCCCATTTGTGCTATATTCCTGTCAGAACGGAACTAGGTAACCACTTGGTGTTTGGTTACCATCTAGTTACTATGTAATCCTGATCTCAGAATCATGTAGGCTGAGGCTGACATGGGCCACCAGTCCCTTAGACTAAGTGTTTCCACCCATGCCTATTTGGATTTCTTCATTCTTCTGTGCTCTGGATGAGGAGAGACCAATTGCTGAAGCTAGATGGCCACTTGCAAGCTTTTAAGACCCCAATCACCACTCACCAAAGTGGATGTAGAACAATGTTTTTGTGGAGTATGTTATGCCAATTGAGTTTAATGTCCCCTGTGACCATGGTCTTGAGCCCACAGGTCAAACAACTCCCTCCATCAGGGCGGTTGACTGTGCCTAAGAAGTTATCATGACTTTGCCCTGTTAGTTCCATGTACATGGACATTCTTACAGCACATACACATATGTGGGTAGCTATATCATCTGCCAGCCTTACATAAAACACTCAGAAGTTGTAAGGGTTCCCTGGTAGAGGAGTTTAATAAAATGGCATCTGTTTTTGGATTGAATTGTATTCCCATAAAATATATGTTGTCAGTCCTACTCTCTGTGCCTTTGTGAATGGCTGTGTTTGTCACGTGAATGAGAAGGGATTAGTGTAGGATGTGTTGCAAGTTACCCTTTCTGAGTTATACAAAAGGCTTAACAAACAATCGAAAGTAGAGATGAAGCAAGATTGATGCCAAGCCACATGGAGATCTCCAAGGAGCCAGGAAACAAATGGAAGAGACAGGGCCTTCCCTCAGAGCCGACAGACACAGAGAGCCTTCCGCCTAGAGCCAGAGCCCTGGATTCAGGCTCGTAGCTCCTAACCTGTGAGAAAATAAATTTCTGTTGGTTACAGCCACCCTCTTGTGATATTTCTGTTACAGCAGCACTAGACAACTAAGCCAGCTACACTGATCATCTGCTTAAAGTTTGCTTGAACTTTCACAGTCAACCCCCTTGGGCCTGAGGTGATGTGGGCCCAGGCTGCTTCTGCTGCCCATGAGCCACTTCCTCCGAGCCTCGGAGAATCTCAGACAGGGAGAAAGGCTGTCAGGCAAGGCTGGCAATGGGAGAGATGGCCAAGGAACGAGGGAGTGAGGCAGGTCATCAGCCTGTGGATGGTCAGTCCTGCGGCGGGGGTCCCTCCAGACGACAAATACACAGGTGTTCAGGGACCCCTTCCTGTCAGCGTCTGTGTCTTGCAGACAGACGCTGCATATCCACACTCATTCTGTAAGATCTGATGGCCGCTCAGTGGACACGCTAAATACCCTCGGCTTGTCACCTTAAATGGGTGAGTTGTTTGGTGTGTTCCATTTCAATAGGGCTGGTGGGGGCTTTCCAAGTTTTGTAATTACCGGCAGACCCTGGGTTAAGAAGCATCCAACTCATGTACAAACACCGCTACCAACAAAGCCCATAAAGCCTGTTATACCAAAAGTTCAAGGTGCAGGCAGACCTCAGCGAGATTGCAGGTTCAGCTCCACACCACTCCTAAGACGGAAACCATGGATTATTTGGTTTCCCAGCTCACATAAAAGTTATATAGACCCAGTGACCATAGTCCATTAAGTGTGCAATAGCATGCCAGAAACGTTTGAGATATTGTGAGAACTACCAGAACGGGGCACAGAGACATGAAGTGAACACGTGTGCTGGAAGGATGGTGCTGACAGACCAACTCGACAGAAGGCTGCCACCAACGCTCCATTTGTGGGAAACACAGTATGTGAGAAGTGCAGTCAAATGAGGTGTGCCTGCACACATGGCTCACGGCTAAAACAGCATCATCATCACCATCACTATGATTGTTATTATTATTAGTTAAAGATGCTTAGTGTATCTGGAAGGGTTTCTCTAATGTCTGTGTGCACAGACAGGTACACTGCATCACATATGCTAAGACAAACATTCGACTAACTGACGTCAGGTATAGACCTTATCTAACTGTCACAACTTACAAACAAATTCAACTTAAAGATAGACTTAGGTATGGAACTCATTCGTAATCTGGGGACTGCCTGTAATTTAAAGAGTTCAGCTGTTTAAAAAACAAAAGTGAAAGTCAGTAGCTATGGTAAAATCATTCAATACAGCTGAAAATTATAACCCATCTGACATTGCTTCAAAGGGCTCTCAGCTAGGAGGAGACCACGTGAGGCCCCAGGGCCTTTCTGCCTAAGCAGAAGGCTCTCTGTGGAGCTTGGAACTGACAGGGAGTGCTGGCCGCTGGGGTCCGGCCACTCAGTGGACAAGGTCGAGTCACCTCAGATGCCTCTGTATAGAACCTCAGGCTGGGGCTAGACGGGGCATTACAGGGTACGTGCGTGAAGATCACCAGAGAACCGAGAAGCACAAGAGGTCTGAGGGGGCTGAGGGATGACATGGTTAATGCTATGTGTCTACTTGGCTGGGCCATGATTCTTAGTGGTGGCAGACACTAGGTAACCACCTTCCATTTGTGACCTGATGTGAGCAGCCAATCAGTAGAAAGGGGAGTTTCCTTGGGGGTGTGGCCTGCCTCCAGTGTATGAATGGATGTTCTGGCAAATTCTCTGTGTGTGTGTGTGTGTGTGTGTGTCTCCCGTGCACTTTTCTCATTACCTGGCGTCCTGTTCTTTTTCTGCAGGATGTAAGCCCACAGAAATCTCAAGCCTGCTGCCTGACCTACAACTTTGGATGTGCCAACCCCGTAAGCCAGCAGAGGCCTCCGGCCTGCCTCCTGATCTACAGATTTGGGGTTCATCATTCCCTGCAACCACATGAGGCAGCACAGTCTTTGGCCTGTTGACTGACCCACAGATTTGGGACTTGGAGCCCCTACAATTGTGTCAGCCATTTTCTGGAGGTAAATTCCTCTAAATACACACTTCACTGGTTTTAAGGAAACTTGGTGATACAGTGATTAAGTGCTCAGCTGCTAAACAAAAGGTTGGTGATTCAAAGCCACGAGCCACTCTGCAGAAGAAGGATATGGTGGTCTGTTCCCATAGATGTTTCAGCCTCGGAAACCCTATGGGGAAGTCCCACTCTGTCTATAGGGCTACCATGAGGTGGCGTCCACTCAGCAGCAGTGGGTCATTGGTTCTGCTCCTCTGCAGACCCCACCACCAATCATTTGTCACCAACGGAGAGAACCACATATTCCAGATTCAGAAGAGGACGTGGAACAAGGGATATCACTGCTGATGTCAGATGGATTTAGGCTGAAAGCAGAGAATACCAGAAAGATATTACCTGTGTTTTATTGACTAGGCAAAGGCATTCGACTATGTGGATCATAATAAATTGTGGATAATATTGCAGAGAATGGGAATTCCAGAACAATTAATTGTGCTCGTGAGGAACCTGTACATAGACCAAGAGACTATCATTCAAACAGAATAAGGAAATACTGCATAGTTTAAAATCAGGAAGGGTGTGTGTCAGGGTTGTATCCTTTCACCAAATTTATTCAATTTGAATGCTGAGCAAATAATCGAGAAGTGGAACTGTATGAAGAACACAGCACGAGGATTGGAGGAAGGCTCGTTAACAACCTGAGATACGCAGTTGACACAACCTTGCTTGCTCAAAGTAAAGAGGACTTAAAGCATTTACTGGTGAAGATCAAAGACTACAGCCCTCAGTATGGATTACATCTCAACACAAAAAATAAAAACCCTCACACTGGACCAATAAGCAACATCATGATAAATGGAAAAAAGAGTGAAGTTGTCAAGGATTCATTTTACCTCGATCCACAATTAACACCCACAGAAACAGTAGGCGAGAAATTGGACATCATATTGCACCTGGCACATCTGCTGCAAAAGAATTCTTTAAAGTATTAAAACATAAAGATGTCACTTAGAGGATTAAGGGGCACCTGACCCCAGCCGTGACATTTGCAATTACCTTATATACACGCGAAAGCTGAACAATCAATAAAGAACTGATGCCTGTGAAATACGGTGCTGACAAATAATACTAACTCGGTCCCGGACTGCCGGGAGAGCAAACACGACTCTCGGAAGGAGTGCAGCCAGACGCTCCTTCGAAGCTGGGAGAGGAGACTTCGTCTCGTGCACTTTGGGCATGTTCTCAGGAGGGACCAGTCCCTGGAGAAGGACATCAAGCTTAGTCAAGTGGAGGGTCAGAAGAAAGAGAAAGGCCCTCCATGAGGCAGACGGACATGGGCTGCCGCAGTGGACTCCAACGCAGCAGGGAGTGAGGAGGGCACAGATCGGGCAGGGGTTCGTTCTGTTGAGCAGGAGGCCGCCGTGAGTCAGAACTGACTCAACAGAGCCCAACGACAATGAAACGAAGGCAGGGGGGAATGGGACGGTCACCCAGGCCCCTGCCCTCCGCCCATCGGCCCTCTCTTACAGGCCCACACCTCTCTGACTGGCCAATGCCCTCAGGCCTCCTGGAGGTCTGTGCGGGCCCACGGTCATGGCCTGTTGGTGCCCTTGGCCTCAGACCCACAGACCTCACTGTGTCCACTCTGCACACAGCCCCAGGTTTCCCAGGGAAGCTGTAGTGCACTGGAACCTGCCCAGAGAGTTGGTCTGCCTTATCGGGCCCAGGTCCTCTCTCATCCTTGGTGCTACCTCTGCCCCTCAGCTTGCCTCCACAAAACCAGAGCCCACCATGCCCGCTGAGCCCCTAGATGGGCAGCATCTCCCACATGGGCCTTCAGCCTCCCAGACAGTCCATCTCTGTGCCCAGAAGAAAGCCCACCCTCAGACCCTCACCAGCAAACCGTCGCCTGCCTTCACTCCATCCCATCCCACTCCTGTAATTTCTGCTACCTATGGCCCTGAGGCAGGTTGGACCCTGGACTCAGGCCTCCAGGCCACTGAGCTTAGGCTGATGTAGGCAACAGGGAAGCCCCTAGGCCCTCCCTTGGGAAGGCCGAGCACACCCCCTCAGCCCCCAGAAGTCTCTGCTCATGCAGTCCTCCCAAGCACCCTACCTGTGGCATCGCTAGGGTTGGTGTCATTCAGTGTGGGAACTCATAGTGCCACCCACCCCCGAGGGTGGAGCAGCCCAGCCCTGCCTCTTCCCCCCTTAAACATTGTGGGGCCCAACCACCACTCAGTAGCCTCCAAGCCCTCCCCATGCAGCTCCTGCTCCAAGGCCGGCCTCCCCAGCCCCTGGCTGCTGCCCTGGGGAGGGGGTCAGCCCCAGCTCCAAGGACCTGGCCTCTGCTCAGGCTGGGTGACAGCAGCTGGCCGGACACGCTGCCCCTCTGGGAACAGACCACCAGGCTCCCAGACCAGGCTTTCCCAGAGCCCAGTGACCTGAGTGTCAGCCCCCAGCAAGTGGGGCACTGCCACACACCCAGCCTCAGCTCGGTGCTCAGCAGGCACCTTCCCCAGCGCTCCAACCAGCCAGCACGCGGCCACAGCACTGCCACCCAGCAGACAGTGGCCAGGTGCTCCCACCCCAGGCCTGGGAGCTGGGTCGCCCCCAACCCCCTGGGGGGACCCTGGCGACACAGCAGCTCCTGGTGGGACTCTGGGGCCAGTGCTCCAGGGGATGTTTCTTCCCCCAAAAAACGGGAGCCTTACCTCACCCAACTGGAAATGCAGGTTCCTGAGGCCCTGGGCTTTGAGGACCAGCTGCGGGGACAGTAGGTCCACACTGGATGGTGCTGGCTGAGTGGGGTCTTCCCCGAGTCTGGCAGCCCTGAGCCAGGCAGACAGCAGAGGGGAGGCTGTCCACGGGCCCACCCCCTGCTAGGACTCCGCCCAGGGTCCCTCTGCCTCTGTGGCCCCTCATCCAGCAGGGTTTGTGCTAGTTGAAGGCAATAAACACACCGCAGTGGAACGCGCAGGGTGGGGCAGCAGGTGGGGGGGCGGCTTCTGGTCACTGTGGTACGCCTTGAGCCCCCACACCCTGCAGGTGCAAAGGAAGGAGGGTGCTGGTGCTGCCGCGTCAGCCCTGGCTTTGGGATGGAAAGGGGTGGCGACCCACCCGCAGGAACCCAGCCCGAGGAGCCTGCGCTCTGGGGGTGCCTGGGGCCCCTCCATCACGGGGTTGTTGACTGTCAGTCACTCAGGCCATGCTGTAGAGGGATAAGGGCTGAGCAACACCTGGCTGTGACCTTCAGGAACCCTGGGGCCTCATCTTTGAAATGGGGTGCTAGCGGCCACCCGAGGAGGCCATCCTTATGGGAAGCACCCCCCAAGCCTTCCTAGGTCCCCATGTCCCACCAGAAAAAGCAGAGGGAGGGGGGACCCCAAAAACCACCAATGAGCCGTCCAAGAAGTGCAAAGCCATTGCCAGCCACACCGCCCCCTGCTCCCAAACCCGGAAAAATACAAAGAAAGCCCTCCCCTCCCCTTCCAGGAAGACGCCCAGCCCAGTCCAGGGCACCTCTGCTTGCCCGAAACACGTACAGCTGGCCTGGGAGGGGCTTGCTGTGCAGCCACAGGGGTCCTCTCCCCACTGCCCGTGAGCACCCTGAAGTACTCACCCTGGGCTTGGACTCCAAACAGAGTGGGCCTGGAGGATTGCCACGAGCCCACTGCCTCGGGAGAGTGGGCACAGGGGCATGTCGGATTGTCCCTGCAGACCCTGCCGGCCCAGGCCCTCATCCTACGCCCGAGCCACACGGCTGTCCCCATGCCGAGGGGTCGGCCTCCACACCCAGAATACCCCACCAGCCCCGCCTGGGAAGGGTTAACCTGCAGTCTGAAACCAGGCCAGAGAAGGCTGGGTTCAGGGGAGGATTAGTAGCGAATGGCCCCCAAATCCAGAGATTTCATTTTAAAGACAAACACAGCACAGCTCACACATTCCCACTTCTCAAAACACCGAAGAACGAAAACACCTTGGTCACCCGGGCTGCCAAACCACCTCATCTCCACCTCACCTCTGGGTGCCACTCGCTCCCGATGGCATGCTGGCCCCAGGTCCTGAGACGTGGGCAGACAGATGATGGTCAAGGTCAAATGTCCAGCCACTGCCTGGCTGCTGTGGGCCCCCAAGGGGGTTGGGCTGGCCTGGGCAAGGTACCTGCAGGGCTGTGGCCAGCTATACACTGTAGAAATGTGTGTCCCCAAAGAAACTCACCTGCCAGCTCAGGTGTAAGGCCACTCCCTCCACTTAACCCCAAGCCACAAGGTTTAACTATTCTGGCTCAGGAGGGCCTAGACCTTCTCCTCTGGGCGCAGGAGCACAAGGACAGCGTGTGGTGTTTGTACCACAGGCCTTTCCCTGCCTGGCTACAGAGGTTGGGCCTGGGTGGAGACCCTCGCAGGAGCCAGAAGGCTGCCTGTGGGGGGTCTGCCTCGCAGCTCCCACCTGCTCGCTTCACCCCATCCCAACCCCAGTGGTCTCCCCTCAGGGTGGGCTTGGAGGGAGATGTCCCCCTTGAGACCTGGCCCAGATGAATCACAGACAAATATCCTGGTCCCATTTGTGTGAAATTACGGCTGGAAACCAGGGGGCCACTTTGAGAAAAATGAGGAGTGTGAACCAGATCACAGAGCTGCTGTTTTTCTTCATTTCTTAGAAACTTTTTTTCTGTCAAAAGAAAATGTAAGTGACCCTTAAAATCTCGGGCTGAAAAAGAACTTTCCACCGAGGATTAGGAAGGAGAAAGCCAACCATATGTCAGTGACTTCATGGCATGATAAGTAATTTCTTGCTTCAAGGAAGTAGTAAGTATGACTCAAAGACAGGATAGATGGGTGGATATTTGCAACGTGTTGGCAGGTGTTCTGGTTACCTAGTGCCACTCTGACAAGAATATACCACAAATGGGATGGCCTTAACAAACAGGAGTTTATTCTCTCCAGGTTTGGAGGCTTTAAGTCCAAGTTCAAAGTGCCAGGCTCTAGGGGCTGGGCAAAAGCCCCTCAACCTTGGGGTCCAGCGCTGCCTCCTGCTCTCGGCCCACTGAAGCTGGAGGCTTTTCTTCACTCAGACAGCTGTTGGCTGCTGAGGCTGACAAGTCCAAGATTGACAAGTAAAAAGGCACAGTCCCGATGTTACCAAACCACACAGCAGGCCATTAATTCAAGTCAATTGTTAAGTCCCAAGGTCGGCAGAGCATGGCAGGCTGCTGAACAATGACACAGCTACATGCAGGGTCCAAGCATGCCATAAGCTAGAGACTACAGCTAAGGCTTCTCCTTATATACAGGAAGCAGACCACACCCCAAAGGCAGCTACTCAGCTGCTTGTGGTAGATCCCACCATGGAGTTAATTGCCAGTCTTATCACGGGGAATAACTACCACCAGCTGCCCAGCCACTCAACCAGGCCTGGCCAAACTGACATACAAATTTAACTACCACAGCAGGTGTCCACACAGACGAGAGCCTCCCCACCCCACCCCCAACCCGGCTTCCTGGCAGTGGCTGGCTGCAGAGGCTGCTGGGCATGGACACCCTGCTGGCTCTGTGCCACAGGGCCAGGCATTGAACTCCACCCTCCTGACATGCCTTTGGGTTCTGGTTGGCATTGCCTTCTGGCCTGTGTGCAGGTCCAGCACACTTTCCTCTAGGGCTGGCCAGTCCTCCTGCGTGGCTCTGTCTCCTGAGCCAGCTGAGTCTCAGACCCAAGGAAGTGGCACAGATCTGACAGAGCCCACCCACCCACCACTCTGCCCTGTGCCAATGCAGGGCGTGAGGATGGGCCAAAGTGCCAGTGAGATGGAGACAGGGACAGGCTGAGAGTTGGAGGGAAGAGAGGAGCCAAGTGGCCCTTGCACCGCCCCTCTGGCATGTGCAGGTGGCACCAGTGTATCAATTCCTCGTGGCTGCTGTAACAAAGCACCAGCCTGAGAGGACGGAAATGCACTGGGACTGGGACATCAGGGTGGCAGCTGTGTTAGTTCCTTCTGAGCTCTCCAAGGCAGAACCTAACCTATTCCTCTCCCCCAGCTCCTGGCGGCTCCCGGCATCCCCGCCGTCCTGGGCTCATCACTCCGATCTCTGCTCCATCTCCACACGGCCCCTCCCTGTCTGTGTCTTCTCTTTCTATGAGGACCCCTATCCCTAGGGCCCTCCCCCTCCAGTCTGGGGACATTGGTAGAATTCTCACCTTCCACATGGGGTGCCGTTGGATTCCCGGTCATGTACTTCATGCAGGCCTCACCTGCCCATCCGTGGAGGCAGGTGTGTTGCTAGGATACTGACCAGGTTTCAGGAGTTTCCAGACTCAGCCAGACACGAAGAGGGGCCTGGCTATCAACGTCCAAAAACTGGCCAATGGAAAATGCACAGGTCGCCACGGCCCATTGTGCATGGGGTGGCACGGTCAGGGGCCGGCTTGATCCAGAGCGACCTCATCTTAACTTGACAACCTCTGCAAAGGCCCCATTTCCGAAGGAGGTCACACTCCCAGGTACAGGCTTAGGACTTCAACACACCTTTGGGGGACACAATTCAGCCGCAGCACACACTCACATCCTTTCTGACCAATGGCCAGGCCAAGACCCTCAGGCCCAGACATGCAGCCTTGTGCCAGGTGCTCACAGCCCATTCCTCTCTCCAAGAGAGCCCCCAGGTCTCGGGCCACAGCCACAGGCAGGGTGCACCCCACAACCCTCAGCCAGCAGGGGAAGGAGAAAGGTGCTTGGGGGTGAGTCTCGGGGGCCATGCAGCACCACGCCTGCCCACAGCAGTGACCCCCACGTTGGCTTTTCCTTGCCTGCATCTCTTTTCCTAAGCCTGCCTCTGGACCCGTGGCGGCCAGACCCTGCCTAACTCAGCGGTCAGCACTACCTGTGTGTGCTGACGCTGAAGGACTGCATCATGCTGGCCTCGGGCTGGGGGCACTGCGCCCACACTGGGGCCCCTTACCTGATTCTACAAACTCGAGGCCCAGGACGGTCTTTGCTCAGCCTGAGGCCTGGCAGTGGGGTCTGGATGTGGCTGTGGCCCTACTGATCTGGAGGGGGGAAGCCGTACCCTGGGTGCACTCCACCCCACCCTCCTCCCTGCACACAGCTAAGGGGCCACCAGAGACAGCAAAGGGGGCAGCAGGCCTGGGAGTGTAGGTGGACAGGGTGGACCCCAGGTATGTTGCCAGGGCCCACCTTCCTGCTGGGGCCCTGGGAGGTCCACCCGGGCAGCATCTGGTCGGCGTGGGCTCCATCCTGAAGAGGGGCCTGGGTGGACAGAGGCCGCGCCCTGAGGAGAGATGCCTCAGGTTTCATAGCGTCGCAGTAACAGCTCCCCTTCTCCCCCACCTGGCCTTTCACCTGCAGCCCAGGACGCACCACAGCACCATCCACTAGGACCTGAAGCGTCCTCGGTCCGCTGAGCACAGGGACCCCACACCCCAGGCCCAGCTGCCTCTGGGGCCAGAGCAGGAGGAGGGGCCCAGAGGTGGGGCCAGCCCCAGGCACCTGTCACGGCCGCCAAGCATCACACATGTGCACCTCCCTCCCCAGCTCAGACTGGGCCCCATGGGGTATGGATGGTCCAGGGGCATGTAGCCCCAGGTTCTCGAGCAGCCAGAGGCAGCAGCCCAGTGACAGCTGAGACGAGGCTCTGTCTGTCTCGGTCTCCTTGTCCTGAGGCTCAAGGGCTGCACAATCTCCTCCGACAGCTATGGGGTCTGAGTCAGGTGGCAGGGTGCCCGCAGGGCGGCTCCCCTCTCGTGGCTCCAGGGAAGACGCCTTCCTGGCTCCCTGGCTTCCTGTGGCCCCAGGTGCTCCCTGGCCCGTGGTGCAGCATCCCCCACCCTCTTCCTCTTTCATAAGGACTGCCCTGCAAGACGACTGACCTCATGTCAACTGGTAACAGGCGCAGACCCTCAACGAGATGAGTGGCCACCACGTGGCTCAAACACGGCCATGACTGTGAGGATGGCGCAGGGCAGGGCAGGGCGCTGTCATCGTCCACGGGGCCGCTGTTGCACACGGGGCCACTGTCATCATACACGGGGCCACTGTCGTCGTACACGGGGCCGCTGTGGTCGTCCACAGGGCCACTGTCACACACGGGGCCACTGTCATCATACACGGGGCCACTGTCGTCGTACACGGGGCCGCTGTCGTCGTCCACGGGGCCGCTGTCACACACGGGGCCGCTGTCGTCATACACGGAGCCACTGTCCTCATACATGGGGCCACTGTCGTCGTCCACAGGGCTGCTGTCATTGTCCACGGGGCTGCTATCATCATACACAGGGCCGCTGTCGTTGTACACGGGGCCACTGTCGCACACGGGGCCGCTGTTGTCATACACGGAGCCGCTGTCCTCATACACGGGGCCGCTGTCGTCGTCCACGGGGCCGCCGTCGTCCACGGGGCCGCTGTCGTCCACGGGGCCGCTGTGAGTTGGAGCCGACTCCTCACCTAACAGCTTCCAGCCAAGGCCACACTCACAGGTACCAGGGTCAGGACTCCTGCTTACCTTCTGGAAAAGGCTGCCCAACCCACTCCACCCTCTTCCCCACAAGCATGTCATCACATCTGAGCAGGCCCTGCGGTTGGCAATGACCCACGAAGAACGACACAAACGAGGAAACACACCTGTTCTCACCTGCAGAGGTGGGACCGAGGGTGCCAGGACCCCTGGCCTCTAGGCCCATCCTGCCCTCTGCAGAGGGCCCCCACTCACCCCACTGGCTCTCTGCACTGTGTGCGACACGGTGTCAGTTGGAGGCCCCAGTTCCTAGTGGGGCATGTGGCCTGGGGTCCCGAGGATGCAATTAGGGAGGAGAGTGAGCTGGGGGCCACATCTCTGTGTGTCTCTTCTCCCCCAGCACAGCCAGACACCCTTCACCACCATGGGGCTTGGAGCACGGGGAAGACAGAGGGTTACTCCTGACTTTGAGTGCCCAGCCCTTGGGCCAGGCGCTGGAAGGCCAGTGCACTAGGTCCAGGAGACTGCAGGCTGATGGCCTCCACCCCAAGCTGGACAGGGTGCACAGGGGGACATGAGCAGGCAGGACCCACAGGCAGGAGGGAACTCCAGGATCAGGGACCAGTGTGAGGCCCTTGGCCTGATGACCAGCCACTCACATCCAGAAAGCCCAGCTGGGCAGCTGTCACCGCCACCCTCTGACTGCCTTCATCAACCCCTGCACCCACACCCCTGCACACTTCACCCCTGCACCTCACACCCCTGAACCCCACACTCCTGTACCCTGCACTCTTGTGCCTCGCACCCCTGTACCACACACCCCTGCACCCTGCATCTCTGCACCCCGCACCCCTGCACCTCACATCCCTGAGCCCTGCACTCCTGAGCCCTCACACCCCTATGCCCACACCCCTGCACCTCACACCTCTGCACTATGCACCTCTGCACCCCACACTCCTGCACCCTGCACCCCACACACTGCACCCCACACCCTACACCCCTGCACCCCACATCCTTGTACCGCACACCTGTGCCCCACACCCCTGAACCCCATACCCTTGTACCCTGCACCCCTGAACCCCACACCCCTGTACCCTGCATTCCTGTTCCTCGCACCCCTGCACCACACACCCCTGCACCCTGCATCTGTACCCTGCACCCCTGCACCTCACACCCCTGAGCCCTGCACTCCTGAGCCCCCACATCCCTATGACCCACACCTCACATCCCTTCACTATGCACCTCTATACCCCACACTCCTGCAGTCTGCACTGTATACCCCAAACACTGCACCCTGCACCCTACACCCCTTCACCCCACATCTTTGCACCCCACATCTCTGTACCACACACCCCTATGCCACACACCCCTGTACCTCCTCACCCACTTCTGTGCTCCCACCCCCATACCTGACCCCCCTGGGCCCTAAGCCTCTGGCCTATGACCACAAACTTCCCAAGTTGAGTGAAGAAGTGGGGCCAGGGCTGGGGGCACTGCCCCCACTCCTGCTTCCAGGCACTGAGTGAGCACCCCAGCTGACTGCCTCCCACTCAACCAGGAAGGTGGCTCCAGGCCCTCCGCGTGTTTCTGGAACCCCAGACAATGGGGACAGATGGAGAAATCACCTGACTTCCCGCCCAGCCCAGAATACCCGTTGGTACACCAGCCCAGAGGCAGGGCGCTGGCACGCCACCCAAGGCCCTGCCCACAGGCACTGAGGCCCACAGCCACAAGGTCCCTGGATGGCACCCAAGTCCAGTCCAGCCATGCCCAGCAACTCCCGCCCAATGCTGTCACCACGCTGCTCCCCCTCCACACAAGGTCTCGGCCCAGGGCACAGTGTGGACAGTGGCATTGGGGAGGCAGGATGCAAAACACAGAGAGAGACAGAGAGCTTGGGCAGAGGGGAGCGGCCTCGGCAAATTCTCTGACCCCAAACGCCCGTGTGGCGGCCGAGCGGGCAGCGGCCCCAGCAGGCCCTGCACCAGCCCGACCAGCCCCCTGGCAACACCTGGGCAGGGCCTGTCCCTCCTGTGCTCCGGGCTCTGCCTGTCCAGAACCACCTGTCCCACAGACTGAACCCACGTCTGGCATGGTCCCTCCTCAGGCTGGAGGCTTTGTCCCAGGCACCCCCCCATCTGGCCACGACTCTCCATCGCGTGTACAAGGCGATGAGTTTGGTGCTGCCAAGCACCACTGAAGGGGACAGAAGGCAGCACCCCAAGTCCACTGGAGCCGGCCCTGGGCCTTAGGCATTGGGACTCCCATGGCTTGGTCACAGGTCGGCCATGAAGCAGCCATGCCCAGGGCCGCACAACCAGGCCACCAGGCCCACCCTCGCCCTTAGGCGCTCCATTAGGGATGGCCTGGTCACCCGCACTTGGCTTGGCGGCCTCCTTGAGGGCACCCTGTGTGGCCAGCCGAGGGCCTCTGCCAGCCGCCCGGGTGGGAGCCGTCAGACACCTCAGTCCCTGCTGGCTGCAAAAGGGGGCTGCTAGCCACTTGGGGCTGTTGTTGGGGTGTGGACCATATGTCCTGAGAGTCGCACAAAGGCGGAGTTGTGGGCAGGGCTGTGGGTAAGGCCATGGGTGGAGCTGTGAGCAGAGCTGTGTGTAAGGCCATGGGTAGAGCAGTGAGCATTTACAGGGAGGCTTGGATGGGGAAGGGGTACCCCCCTCACACAACTCAGAGAAGCTAGAGGCCTCCCCTTGATCCGCAAGGGAACAACCCCCTTCCTAGGCCCCCCTGTGGTGTCCCCACCCGGGCTGCACTCTGGCTCTGGGCTTGGCCTCTCCTGCACCATCCACAAGCCCAGCAGTCCCTCAGAGCCATGAATGGGGGCTGCAGGGCAGAGGTGGGGGCTCTGGGCCCCCCAGCCCAGCTGCCTCCCAAGTCTGTCCCCAGGGAAGCCAGGGCCAGCCTCTTGAGTTCAAGTAGAATACACGTGTGCACACACCAGCACATTCACAAGCACACAGACACACAAGAACATGGATACACAAACACATTCACACACACAGAGATACACAGACACATGGACATGGACACACACATGCACATTCACACACATTCACAGTCCCAGAGATACAGAGACACATATGAACACAGGCACACACACTCACGCACCTGGAGATACACATACACACATTCACACACACACTCACATATCCAGAGATACACAAACACACATGAACACGGACATACTCACACACCTAGAGATACACACATACATGAACACAGACACACACACATTCACACACCCAGAGATACACAGAGACACACATGAACACAGACACACACACACCAAGATACACACATGCATGAACATGGACACACACTCACACATGTTCACACATTCACACACCCAGAGATACAGACACAGACTCACACAGACACACACACCCAGAGATACACACATATATGAACATGGATACACATACACACACATTCACACACAGAAATAGACACACACAAACATGGACACACACTCACACACCCAGAGACACATACATGAACAACGAAACACACACATTCACACACACATTCACGCACCCAGAGATACACAAACACATATGAACATGGATACACACATGTTTGCACACATTCACACACCCAGATTTACACAGACATACATGAGCATGGACACACACCCATACTCATTTACACATTCACACACACACATTCACACACCCAGATTTACACAGACATACATGAGCATGGACACACACCCATACTCATTTACACATTCACACACACACATTCACACACCCAGAGATACAGACACAGGCACACATCAACATGGACACCATACACATACATATTTACAGACACACATGAACAGAGACACCACACACACACTCACATTCACACACCTCCACACAGCCAGAGATACACACATTCATGAACACAGAAGACACATGGACACACACTCACGTTCACACACACATTCACATACCCGAAGATACACACATTCATGAACACAGACACACGGACACACACATTCACACACCTGGAGATACACACATGGAGACTGACACACACACACACACACATTCACACACCCAGTGATATACACAGACACACATGAGCATACTCACACACATGCACATACACACACACCCAAGACACACACATCTATGCACATGTCCTCACACACAGACACACACAAGTGTCTCTCAAGGACTGAGAATCTCCCTCTTGATCAGGGTTCCTCGACAGCGATGGACACCCTTGGGGTATGAGCCCCAAATGTCCGTCCTGCTCTGAAGCTTGTCAGTTTCCACAATTAAAGGGGGTCAATGAGCTTAAACTCGGAAGGCCGCCCGGACTGTGGGGCAGGCCTGCCTCTGGGGTGGACACGGCAGAAGGGGCAGCATGACACGTGTGGGAAGGACTCCGCCAGCCACTGCTGACCTTTGGGTGCAGGAAGGGCTCGGAGGGAAAGCAGGGGCCTCTGAAGCTGGAGGGGAGCAGCAGCTGTCACACCTTGATCACGGGCTGAAACCACCTTGGCGTCGGAGACGGTAAATGCCTGCGGCTTGCAGCCGCCCGGTCTCTTCAAGGCCCAGAATTCAGGACTTGGGCTCGGGACTCACTGCAGGGCAGGGGATGACAGCGTGGGGTGCACCTGGCACACAGAGATGCCACTCCACCTCGAGCCTGAGCACTGGCGGCCCAGGCTCCCCACTGTCCCCGCAGCCTCCCCACAGCCCACCCGGGAGGAGCGCTGCCCCAGGGTCTGCCTTCAGAGCACAGGTAGAGTGTTGCTGCCTCAGACCCTCCGGCCTCTGGGGGCACAACCTGGGCCCCTCCCAGCCACACAGATCCAAGACTCCTGGGACCCTCCACCCTCTGGGCGTGCAGCCACACAGACCTGAGACACACCCTCCCTTGGACCCTTCAGGGGTGCACCCAGCCAAACATACCAGAGACTCCCCAACTCTCCTTGGAGCCCCCTGGGCCACAGTTATTGGCCACCCCTCCGACTGTGCCCACCTCAGGAACACTGTCTGTCCTTCCTGCTACAGAAACTATGCTGAGCGAGGGCACTCAGGACCCGCGCCTCATCCCTGGGGCTGCCCCCACCCACCCCTTCTCCAGGAACTACTTGTTCCTTGGGGCTGAAACCCCAGCCTTATACTCCCCTTCACCCCTTCCACACTCCCCACACACACACTCTCCCACAACCCATTGCCAAAAGCCACTCTGTCATAAAAACAAACAAAAATTCACTGCCATCGAGTCGGATCTGACTCATAGCGAACCCTCCTCGGGTTTCCGAGGCAGTATCACTACGGAGGTAGATTGCCCAACCTTCCTTCCAAAGAGTGCCTGGTGGGTTTGAACCACCAGCCTCTGGTTAGCAGTCAGATGCCTTAGGCACTACGCCATCAGCAGGGTAAATCCACCCCCCCAGTGTCCAAGGCTATGATGTTCATGTAGGTGGACTCCCACATCTTTCTCCCACAGATCGACTCCCACGTCTTTCCAACCTCCCACCTTTCAGTCAGCAGTCCAGCACTTAACCAGGACACATCCGCCCCCGGGTCTCCTTCTTGCTTCCTTACATGAAGTCTTTCCACGTTGCAGGCTTACCAGCCAGACGCTGAAAATTCCAAGCTTTCCCTAATCCAAACTCCAGCCCACCCCTCGAGGGCCCGCCCTCTGGCCCGTGTGAGGACACCCCTGCTGGTGGGCCCTGCTCTACCCGGTCCACCTGCAGGCTGGCTTGGCCAGAGGGCGTGGCCTGGGAAGAGCTAACTTGGCAGGACTGGATGCACCAAACCATGAGGCGTCTTCGGCCTCCTGGGTGGTGTCCCACAGCCAGGGCGGGCAGAGCCAGCATGAACGGCTGTGAAGGGCTGGTTCCAGGAGCAAGGCTGCTTGGCAGGGCTACCTAGCCCAGGTCTGCAAGGACAGGGAAAACTGCACCAACAGGGCGGCGTGTCAGCCATGGGGTGGTCTGCGGGGACCCTCAGAGCCCCAGCAGGGGCCCTGGGAGCAGACATTCCAAGGGGCTACTCCTAGGCCCGGCCACACCCCCACAAGGGCCACTGAGGCCTCCACAGGGGCTCCAGCAGGGTGGGCTCCAGGGAGGCCAGTCCTGCAGGCGGCAGTGCCAGGGTGCTGGGCATGGCCCACTTGATGCAGGGAGGGTGACAGGAATCCTGACAGTCCCCCCCCACTGGGCTAGTCCCCATGCCCTTAGATCAAACCAAGGCCAAGACCTCCCAGGGTCAGAACACTAAGACTCCCAGCCCCACCAGAGTATGGCCCAGCCACACATTTCACTTCCAGGACCGCAGCCACACAAGGAGTCCCTGGGGGCCAAGTAGGGTGTAAAGTCCTGGGTAGAGGTAGGGCAGGGGTGCATTTCCTCCTCTGGGCAGGCTCTGGATGGCACCCATTCCGAGTGACAGGATGTGACAGAGGGAATCACATGGCCTAGCAGCCTGCAATCATGGCCACCACACAGGCCACCCTGTGGGCCACCTGGGCCAGGTGCGAGTGGCCACCCTGCCCCACCCAGCAGTTGCTTGGCTCCCACTGGTGTCCCGGAATCATCTTGTCACTTGATTTGTTCATGTGCACTTGGTAAAAAAAAAAAGTCCAAACCATCCAAGAATACAGACTCCAGTCTCTTTCCTACCCCTGCCCCCAGGCACCCTCTGCCAAACAGGGCTGTGTGTGCAGGCCCACAGGCACCCACTCCCCCACCCCCACCCCAGCTCAGAGCCCAGCCGCTGCTGCTGCAGACAAGTCTCATAGGGTGAGGGGACCTACCTGTGTGCGTGGGCAGGTTCACTCTGCAGGTCCCACCCAGATGTGGGACCCCAGCACCAGCTAGGTGAACACTGAACATGTGACAGGATGGTGCCAACCTGCACAGATGGCCGTGGGTGCTGCCGGCCTGACGGGGACTTGTGACAGTCCCCCTGTCATGGCTCGTTAGCAGCCCCCTCTTTAGGGCCCGGCCCAGCACACACAGCACAGCCGCAGACCGTGAGCTGAATCTCGCAGGCATTGCTTTAATTCTCCAAAATGAGCATGTCTGAGTCACAGAAGGACGAGTGGTGGGCCCTGTTCAGTTACAGATCCCCTCACTGTGCATCTTAAATGCTCACAGGCCTCTGCCGAGTCTCCTGGCATGGCTGTCAGAGACCATAAGGGGGCACTCTAACGAACAGAGGCTGAAAGTACAAATTCAGGGCACCAGCTCTCCAGGAGGCTCGTACCGTCAGCGCTGCAGCCCTGGCAACCCTTGGGGGCTGTGCAGTCTCCATGTGGTGTCCGTCTTCTCCCCTGAGATGGACAGTGACTGGTGTAGGGCACTTCCTGCCCAGATATAGCCTCATTAACGTAACTAAGAAAACCTTGGTCCGGACAGGTTTGCATCCACAGGAGTCAGGATTCCAACACACTTCTGGTGGGGACACTCTCCAATCCATGATGTCCATCTTCCATGACAAATTCAAGACAGCCACGTGCACCCATCCCGCAGTCAGACACTAGGCGGCTTTGTGAGGCCAGCGGAGGCATGGGGGTGTGAGGGGCCGCCTGGTCCGAGGGGCCCCCACACGGGCCCTCAGGAGGAGAGTCCTCTGGGAGCAAAGAGGGAGCGGGCAGTGACTGGCACATACTGACTGGAGTTCTAACAGTCACACAGGGGTCCAGCTGCCAGACAGGATGTGCCCAAGGTGGCAGGGACAGCACGCCAGGCAAAGGGGCCCCGTGAGCACTTCAGGACCCACGGCTGCACCACCCAATGGTGTGTACGCCGTCCACTGGGCTCCCCGACAGTCCTCGTCACCAAGCCCTCATGTGGGGACAGACTCAGAAGGCATGGAGAGGCGGCCAGCCGGTAGGTGTCAGGAAGCAGACACAGACCCTTCAAGGACAGGGCGCTGGAGAAGGGAGGGCCCAGGGCCGAGGCCTCTCCTGTCCTCTGCCCAAAATGACCACCAGTGACCACCCACAACGCCATCGGGCAGCTAGCCTGTTGTTTTGGTAAACCAGGCTCAGCTTATGCCATGTTATTCTCCACCAGCATCATCAGCGGCTTGACTGACCACCACACAGGCCAACCCCAAGCCTGTGCCCCTTCAGAGGGCCCATCTCAGGCAGTGGGGGGCCACCAGCAGGACCAAGCAGGGAGGAGCCAGGCTTCTTCCCTGCTCCCGAGTGGGCAGCCCTGCTCACTGCTGCCCAGGCGGTGCCCAGAGGAGGCCGGGCTCCGAGAAGGGACAGCGTGTCCAGGAGCCTCCCTGTGCACCCACCTGAGCTCCGAAGCTGGAACCCCCGAGGGGCCCGAGGAAGCCCTGTCTGGCTCCATCAGGAAGGAGGCCCTGAGCCCCACCGAGGAGAACAAAGGTCCCCGGGCCCAGCGAGCCCCGGAGAGCACACGCGCTGCCACCGAAGGCGGCCGCGGCAGCGCGCAGTGAGCCGTGAGCGCCCAGGCCCCGGGCCCGTGCCCTCAGGCCCGGGAGGGCAGCGTCTTGTAGGGGTTCAGGATGCCCTTGGGGTCCAGTAGGGCCTTGAGCCCGCGCATGAGCCGCACGGCGGCCGGTGGCTTGCTGTAGCCGAGGGCGTCGCGCTTGCGGAAGCCCAGGCCGTGCTCCGCGCTGACGCTGCCCCGCTGTGCCGCCGTCCACTCGTACACGTGGGGCTCCAGCGCACCCAGCAGCTGCGGGCTGAAGGCCTCCGCCGTCACGTTCAGGTGCAGGTTGCCGTCCCCTGCGGACACAAAGCCGATGGGTGGGCGGGCCAGAGACCCAGCCTCACAGCCCCACCCCTGCCCAGAGTCCCAGGCTGAGGCCAGGCGCCTGGGAGACCCCAGCCCATCCTCAAACTCCCTCCTCTCCGCGCATCAAGGCTTCCCAAGGCCCCTCTTGCCCCACCATCCCTTCCCCGGGGCTTCTGGAAGGGGCTGCGCCCTCCCTAATGCCATGTCTGCTGCCACCCTCCCGCCCACCGTTGGCATCCCCAACCCTGCCCCCTGGAAACCAGCTGCTGCCAGACACGGCCCTCTCTGGCCTTCTCCTCCCACCCCACCTCTGCCCCTAAACCTCCTGGGGAGCCCCCCTCCACCCTCACCCTAGGGCTCCCTTCCCCAGGCACTCTGACCTCTGCCACCCTCGGCAGTGAGGGCTTGGGGCAGTTACAGGGCCAGGACCAAGGGGTGAACCACAGACCCAGTCTCCTGCTTCAGGCTCCCCACCTGAGACCCTCCCAAGGCAAGACTTACCTGTGCAGGTTCAGGCGTGGCACAGGCACCCCCACACACATGTGCAAAGCCCCGACAGAAGCCCCCCACTGACTGGGCACTAGAGCAGGGGGCTGGCGGATGGATGGGGCCGGGGGTGGAGTGTGGGGCTTGCATTGCCCCCACACACACACTGAAGTGCCTAGAGCTGCTGGAGGCAGTGAGCCACAGGCGGACACCCAGGGGTGGAAGGACACGGGCTGGCACAGCCTCAGGACTCGGCGAGTACAGGAAATGAAGCCCCGAGGCCTCGAGGCTGAGACCCTAGAAGCTGAAGGGTCTGTAGCAGGAGACGGGGCAGGAGACCGAAGGCCCCAGAGCCGAGGGCAGAAAAAACAAAACCACTGCCGTGGAGTCGGCCCCAACTCACAGCGACCCCTCCTTGGGTTTCCGAGGCAGTATCACTACGGAAGTAGACTGCCCGACCTTCCTTCCGAGGAGTGGCTGGTGGGTTTGAACCACCAGCCTCTGGTGAGCAGTCAAATGCCTTAGGCACTACGCCACCCACGGGGAGCAGCTCAGATGCCACATGGCATCAGAGTGGCTGTGCAGTGCATCGGTGAGCACCACACTACAAGGAGCACAGAGGCCAAACAGCAACAGGCCTAGCACCAGAGGCACCTTCCCCAGGGGCCTTTGATGGGCCTTGGAGACACAGCCCAGTGCCTGGTGAACGAGGGAGAGGGACCTCTCTCCTGCTAATGGTGGCACCCACCCTGTCAGCGTGTAGGTAGGCGGGAAACAGCCTCCACCAAGGGAACCCACTGCAAGGAACCTGACTGCAGAAAGAGAAAACATCTCCACCAACTGCTCACGCCATCTGTCAGCTGGGGGCAGGGCTGCAGCCAGGAGTCACCCTGCCTCAGGCTCACAAGGACTGAGCTAAAACTGTGATGATGACAGAGGGCCAGGCGGGAGGCCCCTGGCCCCTGCCGGCCAAATACCCTCTTCGGGAACAGCTTCCAACACAGGCCCCAAGTGACTCCCACAGAGCAGTCGAAGAAAGACGAGGCTACGTCAAAAGTTACATACACACCAGGAAGCAAGTCACCATAAGCAGGCGCCAGCAGAAGTAAACCAGCAAAGTCCTCAGATATGTGCATTTCCAGAGAGAGAATACGAGCTTCGTTTAGTTTAAAGAAACAGCTACAAAGCACACCATCAGCACCAAACCTAACGAGCAGTTTGGAATACCCAATGAGTCCTCCAGCAACGACAGACAGACTCACTGAGGCAGGTGACTCAGTGACGGTTTCCCAGCATATCACACACAGTGAGTTACCTAACACGGCCCTATGGCCAGTCTTTGTGCCTCCCACACAATGCCTGGCTGGGGCTATGCAAATGAGGTGCTTGCGGCCTACCAAGGGGATTGGGTAGCTTGCTACTAATGTAAATGAGGTGTGTCATCCTTGTGGGTGTGGTGCATGCAAGTAAGTATATGGAACCTGTGGTGCTTAAGGTGTCAACGCAGATGGGCCATGACTCCCTGTATTACATGGTTGTCGTCCATCTTGTCAGTGTTCTCCATTTGGTGATATGTTGTAAATCCCAGCCTCCGTGCCTGTGCCTAAGGAGCTCTGGTGCGGCAGTGGTTAAAGCATTCAGCTGTTAACCAAGAGGCCAGTGGTTGGAATGCACTGTTGTTGTTGTTAGGTGCCCTTGAGTCGTCTCTGACTCAGTGACCCTATGCACAGCAGAACGAAACACACCATCCGGTCCTGAGCCAGCTCCGCGATCCCTGCTGTACCTGAGCCCATCAGTGCAGCCACTGGGTCAGTCCATCTCATTGAGGGCCTTCTCCTCTTTCGTCCCTCCACCTCACCAAGCATGACATCCTTCTGCAGGGAATGGTCCCTTCTGACAACATGACCAAAGTAGGTGAGATGAAGTCTGGCCATCCTCGCTTCCAAGGAGCATTCCGGCTGCACTTTCTCCAGGACAGATCTGTTAGTTCTTCTGGCAGTACATGGTACTTTCAGCATTCTTTGCCAGCACCACACCTCAAAAGTATCAATTCTTCTTCAGTCTTCCTTATTCGTTGCCCAGCTCTCACATGCATATGAGGTGATTGAAAATATCATGGCTTGTGTCAGGCACACCTTAGTCTTCAAGGAGACATCTTTGCTCTTCAGCACTTGAAAGAGGTCCTTTGCAGCTGATTGGCCCAGTGGTATGCATCATCTGATGTCCTGACTGCTGCTTCCATTGGCATTGATTATAGAACCAAGCAATGTGAAGTCTCTGACAACTTCAATCTTTTCTCCATTTATCATAATGCTGCTTATAGGTCCAGTTGTGAGAATTTTTGTTTTCTTTATATTGAGATATAACCCATACTGCAGACTATATTCTTCAATCTTCATTAGTAAGTGCTTCAAGTCATCCTCACTTTCAGCAAGCAAAGTTGTGTCGTTAGTGTATGGCAGGTTGCTAATGATTCTTCCTCTAATCTTGATGCCACATCCTTCTTCATATAGTCCAGCTTCTCAGATTATTTGCTCAGCATATAGATTGAATAAGTATGGTGAAAGGATACAACCCTGACTTACTCCTTTCCTGATTTTAAACCATGCAGTGTCCCCTTGTTCTGTTCAAACAACAGCCTCCCGGTCAATGTACAAGTTCCTCATGAGTACAATTAAATGTTCTGGAATTCCCATTCTTCTCAATGTTATCCATGATTTGTTATGATCCACACAATCAAATTACTTCTTCCTTCAATACCATTGGTTCTTGTTGAATGCACTACCTACCCCAAAAAAACCAAACTCACTGCCGTCAAGTTGGATCCGACTCACAGCAACCCCTCCTTAGCTCCCCAACAGGAGGAAAATCAGGTGGTGTGATTGACAGCCTTGGAGATCCTGTGGGCAGTTCCACTCTGTCCTCTAGGGGCGCTATGAGTCAGGATTGACTCCACAGCAGTGGGTGTGGTTGGGGCTTTGCTTCTGTGAAGATTGACAGCCTTGGAGACCCTGTAGGGCAGTTCCCCTCTGTCCTCTAGGGGCGCTGTGGGTCGGAATGGACTTGATGACAGTGGGCACCCCCCACCCCACCCCAGCACTTAGGAGTGGAGCTAAAGAGCTTTGTAGCAGTTGTCCAAGGAGTGCAGAGGCCTAGCGGGCCCAAGAGGCCTGAGGGGCAGAGGGTCATAGAGAGGCCTGCCTGCGGCACAGTGGAGAAGAGGCTGTCCTGACCAAAGAACTGTATCCTGAGTCATTGCTTGTCCTGGACCATAACCTGTCACTTCCCCAATGAACCCCACAGTCGAGAGTGTGGGCTGTGAGTTCTACGTGGCAATGCAATGAATTACTGGACCGAGCAGAGAAGCAGAGAAAGCCGTGGGAGGGCTGGTGGGAGAACTGGTGAGAAGGTTGGAGGGTGGCAGCGGTGTGACCTCGCCTCGGAGGAAGCAGCCTGGGGCTGCTGAGCGTGACCCTCTCTCCCGCTTATGAAGTTAGAGGAGGTCGGAGGCCACCTGACGTTTTCACACACGGTAAAGAGAGTTAATGAACTGGAAGATGAATCAAGAATCTGAGATGTAGACAATATGAGAGCCAATGAGAGGGTGGGAGGGAGCATGAGTACTGAAGTGAAGCCCCAGAGTGGTGTGTCGCGGTGCAGGGGTGGAGCTGCGTGTGTCACAGTGTACAGTGGGTGGTCAAACAGTCTAGATGTTGCTGTGAAGGTACTGTGTTGGTGTGATTGACAGCCACAGTCTGCTGACTCTAAGTAAAGGAGATGACCCTTGGAAAGCGGGTGGGCCTCATGCCATCTCCTGAGACTGTAAAAGCCAGAGCCGAGTTTTCTCAGAGCAGTAGCAGCCTGCATCCAGACTGTAGCAGGAAAAGCCTGCCTCAGTTTCCAGCCTGACGCCTGGTCTACAGGTTGCATAGTCACTGGCCCCATAATCCTGTGACCCATCCCGGAAACAAATCTCTCCACAGGGAGACAGAGGCAAGGAGAGAGCTCCGGCAGTTCCTGCTTCTCCGGAGAATCCTGATCAGGACACAGTTCTTCACTTTGCTGAGGCAATATCAGTGACCACCCAGTGTTGGTGAAATTCATTGGAGAGAAGGACTTTAAGAACAAAATAAAAACACTTCCAGACAAAATCCAAGAGCATCTGTAACCTGTCTCTGAAGGCTGAACTGGACAGAACACCTGAGAAATGAAGTCACAGTGAACAGAACGGGATGCAGGTGAGTCTAGACAAAGGCCCACTATACTAATTATAACATCACAGGCTACAAAAACAAGGCTGAACTAAAATATGCTTCAAAAATCACACACAAGCCAATGGGGATGGCAGGCAGACACAGAGCCCTGCTGTCCTCAGCTGCCACTGAGCTGGTACCACGGGGACAGACTGCGGTGACCTGCGCTGGCACCATGGGGTCAGATTGTGGCGACCTGAGCTGGCACCATGGGGTCAGACTGGTGACCCACAGCTTCTTCCCTGGCTGGT